CATTGTACGTAAAAATGAGCACTTTGAATAACAAGTATTATTTCGAGATGGGAAAATGTGCAGACTCTCCTTCTCGAGCTTATTTGACGAATCTGACAAACCGGCGCGGCGGTTTTGCAAGCTAGAGAACCCCGGCTCTGAAAGACACGCAGGTTTGCGAAGAGACGAAGACCGCATCCTCGTTTTATTTAATGCACGTCGGCGGGAAGTGAGGATTACTCATACACTGGCCGTAAGCCAATTCTACACGAGACGCGACTCATTAAGCCACAACCAATATATCTCGTTCAAGCGCCGCTCGTTGTAACCCACGATACGGCATGATAAGACTTGTCCTTCCTTTTTCGCAGTAATTTTACTATATATTTCTGGACACTAATGTTTATTTCAAAGGATGCGATTCTTCGAAGTCTCCATTCTTCTCGGAACAATTAATCTCGAAAATATAGGACACGCGAGTTTATAAATAAACGCGACAATTATTTTCGCGCACATCTGCATCATTGAAATTAAAAAATGCGATCAATAATTAAAATCATATCAATTTTAACTCTTAACGCTGATTAATTTCGATTGACAGGAAAATGTATACGCGTTACGTCAAGCCTCGTGTTTTTGTTGTCATAAACAGGGGGATTATTTTCGCGTAATTACGTTACATGTAATTAGCATGGAAATTTAGCTTCAACGAAATTGTATTGGTTGTGTGTTGCTAGTATCATTTCAATCAGTTTAATTTTCGTGAAACCAGATCTCGTCGTAATTAAAATAATTTTAATCCATATATGAAGAGAATTTTCTCTCAGAATTTACCCTGAAAATCATAATAATTGTAGGACAATATCGTATTGGAAGAGTTTTATAAGAGTTTCTCCCTGATTAATATTTATATCACAATAAAAAAATACATTGAAAAAAAATTATTAAATGAATACATATTTTATTTCAATATTGCCTTATAAATCATTTATTTGAAACAAATAAATATTTATCTATTTTGAAAAAGATTCTTTTATATCAAATAAATATTCTTTCACGTCTAATCAATATTATTAATTTCATATAAATGATTTATAAAGGCAGTATTGAAAAATATTTATTTGAATTAAATAAAATTTTGTTCAGTATATATTAATATCACAATAAAGAAATAAAATATGTTCTCTACATATTCATATGTATTTTTATTACATGGTAAATATTAATCAGAAAAATTCTTATAAAATTCTTCCAATGTTATCCCATAATTACCATGATTTTTTCTAGTAATCTTTACTACGTACATATTAATATGTATTTTTATTGTGATAAAAATATTAATCCGAGGAACTCTTATAAAATTCCTCCAGTACACTGAAAAAAATTTGTTAACTTGAACTAAACCTTTCAACTAAATTACTATTTTGCTACTTGAACATATATTAGTATTTAAGTCAAATATACGTTTTGTTAGATTTAATATGTTACATTTAATTTAAATATTTTATATGTTCAATTAACGAAATAATATTTAAATCAAGATTGAGAAAATAATATTTAGTTGAAAGGTTCAGTCAAGTTAACACATTTTTTTCAGTGTACCATATTGTTCTACGATTATGACTTTTCAGGGTTTACATAATTGTAAGAAGAAATTCATTGTGTGTCGGCCTTGTTCTCGAAGAAGCAAGAAAATCTGGGACTTCCTCATTTCGTCGAAATTGCACTGTTCCCGAATAAACACTCTAGGAGTGATTCTGCATTTTTGCGCGGAAATGAGAGCCGTGAAAATTGAAATCCCGCGACAGCGTATCATCAATTACCTTTCATCGATGTCACCTGCTACGAGCCATAGTTCCTCGCATACGAGGAACAAGAACCGGGTACGACGACCTCGACCTTCGACGGACGGTGGTGGACGATGACGAAGGATCCGGGGCGGTTTCCGAGGGTGTCCGAGGGTGTCGATCGCGAGACGACGATACGATGCGGATGCGACGTCACGTCGCGGATGCACGTGGTTTCGCGAGTGTCAATTTCGAGGTCATAACAAAACGACGACCTCGCCGGCCGGGCGTCCGGCCATCTTGCCACTCTCCTATCAGTCTATCTTGCTCTATCTCCATCTCTCTCGCCTTCTCTTTTTACCCCTCCAACCCCATCCACCCTCTTTCTCTTTCCCTTTCGCGCTTTCACCCTTTCTCTCTTTGAAATACCGACGGATACCGACGGACACCGACGCGTCTCAAAGTTAATCGATACCTTCGCCCTTTCCGAGGAGATACCGGTAACAAAGCTGCCCGTTTTTATGGGGAATTTTAAGGGGATCCTAAACGTCTTCGAGAAGTCTGTGATTTCAGTCCTGTTTTATCGACAAAATGTGAGGTTAGATAAATTATAAATCTATTTTTGGCTATACGGATTGTTTTTTACCTGAAATTAGAACGCTTCGCTCTTTGTTCATTTTAATACTTTAATTTGTACAGGAAAAAGATTGATCAATCTTGTACAAATTAAAGTATTAATGTTAACAAATGTGGAAGCGCTCTAATTTCAGGTAAAAATTCGTATAACCATCCAATAAATAGATTTATAGTTAGATCTAACTTCACATTTTGTCGATAAAACAGGACTGAAACCAAAGACTTCTCAAGAACGTTTAGAATCCCTTTAAGAGAATGCTGATCATGACTGTTTTACCGACTTTGAGTTCAAGGGCTTTTCTTTTTATTGGCTATACAGATTAAAAAATCCTTCTCCACAATTAAAATACTGATAATAATGAACGGGAAGCGTTGTAATAATTTCATATAAAAAAAAAAGCAATAAAAGTTAAAAAAATTACAGGTTTTTTATCGGCCTCTTGCGTGTGCATCAGCTCATAACAATACTTACTTAATACAAAAGTTCTGCAGTTTATTTGTGCACAAAATATGGCGCTTCCAATAGCGATGACATGAAAGAATAATACAGAAGTAATAAAGTACTTTCATTGTGAAGAATTTTTCAATCCGTATATTCAATAAAAAGTGAACCTAACCTAACAAAACAGGAGGAGAAGGTCAATTTTATTGGGTTGCTGTGTAGCTTCCGGTCTGTTTGCCAATTAAAGTTAGCGGCGACATTTTACGACGATGCTCAGCTTCGAGAATTAATTTTCCTCGATCGAAATGTAATCACTATCGTGTAATTTTAAAATATATCATTTTTAAAACACGTATCAAATATATAATTTTATTCAAAAACAGTTTTAATTTTTCTTTCGTTATATTTAAAATTTTTTGTGCTTTATTTCGCACGATAAAATTTAATAGACCATAAATCATCTCTGGGATTTGTGCTCCTTAATTACTAATATTGTAATTATTAATTAGAGAGTAGATACTTTAAATTTTTTAATTCCAAGCACATAAAAAAAATTTGATATTAAAAAGTAATACTTGGGTAAAATTGAATAAAGATAAATGTATGTCATAATAAAAATAAAAAAGCAGAAAAAAGTAATTTCGAAATTTATGATTATAATGCATATTTGTTATCTATATAAACTTTGTTATCTATATAAATTTGTTATCTATATAAATTAAATAGATTTAAAATAAATTGTGACAAGGCGTAATAATATTCAAAAAGTTAAAAGCATTGTGAAATACGGACAATAAGAGTGATTCAAAAGAAACAATGCCAATTATTATTATTAATAATAATAAAATAGCCCGTTGATAATGCAATAGAAAAGAGAATGAATAATTTAAATCAATTAAAAAATGTGAGATGAAATATGTACCTACATACAATGTTTTAAAAAGATTAATTTTAAATCATATAATATATGTATGTATATCAAATTTTTTCGTACATTTAATTGTTCTCCATTATTATTAGTATTTATGAATTAAAATAATCAAAAATGAATAAAAATATTATAGTACTTGATTTTCAATACTGATATCAATATAATAGATTTTACTTATGTTTTTTCATACACATGACACATTATTTGAAGATATTTTTTTTATTTTTTTAATCTCTCTTAGTATTTAAATAAAATCTCAAAAATTTTACAAGTGTTTCTACAGCTTTTTAGCTATAATAGGGTTTTTTAAATATATGTGAATCATTGATATATATTTCTTATGATAAAACTATGCTGAATATAAAAGAAAAATGATTATTATCGTTTTTGTGTGCTTATTTTAATTATTTCTAATTATTTTAATCTCTGATTATTCTACGAGATAATGCATAGTTTTTTTTTTAGAATTTGACAGTTCATTTTCACATCATTATGATGACGGACATATATCGTCAGAAGGTTTAAAAAAATTGAGCAACTCGCCGTTGCCCAAGGCTGATAAATCTGAATTTGTAGGGTGCACATAGGGGTTATTTTGGTGGCTTTCCGTCGGTAAAGCTAGATGATACGAGGGTAAGAAACGTACGGGGTCGCAGAAACAGATCGACTTGTCGTCGGTAAAAGAACACCGTGCCTGTATACGGTATAGAACAGGGGTAAACAACCCCTAAGTAAAGAACACCGGGTAACATGGAATTTATGCAGGATCTGTCACGTATAATGAACTTCACTTAAATGAAGTGAAGATTAGCTTGCCCGAGGAAAGGATATATAGCAAAGGGTGTATACTTCCCTATAGTTCATTAATTTTTAATATAGAATTTAAATGAGAAATAGAAAAAAATCCAGATGCTAAATTCAAAGTAAATTTTGAATTTATATTATTCCCACAGACTTCTATATATAATATAGAATATATATATATATATATATATATTATAGATAATATATATATAATATTATATATAAATATATAATAAATAAATAAATAATTTTATATACAATAAATAAATAAATATATATATATATATATATTTATTTATTATATAAATTCTATATATAATATAGATTATTATATGTGGAAGTCTGTGATTATTCATTTAACGCGTCAATATTATATTTTATTTTCAATTTATTGAGACTTATCGGTGCAATTTTTGCTTACCTTGTCTTCAGCTTCATCTGCTCTGCCCTCTGCTTCAAGAACCCGTTGTTCGAGCTCGGAGAGCTGAAACAAAAAAAAAAGATATCATGTTAGTGATTTCTCTTTTTAGACATGGATCTTTGTCTTCTTAATAATATTTCTAATTTCGATAACAGAGTTTATCGGACAATAAAAATATGGTAAAATTATTCGCATGTCTCTTCACGCTTCTAACGTTATCGAGGACAACTGACAATCGATCTTCGACGTGAATTGATAATGTTCTTGAAGTAGATAGTCCCGAGGTTCAAGGAAGTTCGACAGACGTAGCCGAACGAGTCATAAGTAGTTCGATATTCTCTAATTTCGCGAGGGAAAGTTTCATCAAACTTGGTAAGTCCATGGACGAAACTCTACGACAGTTTAATAGATATGATGGAACGGACTCGAAGACCAACTGAGATCCAGTTGAGATTGATAGCAAGTATACCAACATGACAATTCTCGAAAATTAAAAATCTCATCTAAAACGTACAATCTGGCGTTTTCTTTTCAATTTTAATTTTTTGATTAATAAATTTCCCGATTAGAAATTTTATTATTTAACTTAATTTGGTTTATAATTTATGCACGGAGAAACTTTCCTCTTATAATTTACCCTGAAAATCATGGTAATCAATAATGGAACGATATAATTGGAAGAATTTTGTAAGTTTCTCTGATTAATATTTACCACAATAAAAAATATTAATATGTACATAGTAAAATTAATCGAATATATTTTATATCTTATTGTGGTAGATATTAATATTTTTATAAGTAAAGAATTTTATAACAGTTTCTCTGATTAATATTTATTACAATAAAAAGTATTAATAATAACGTATATAGTAAAATTAATCGAACATATTTGATATCTTATTGTGGTAGATATTAATATTTTTATAAGAGAAAAATTTTGTAAGAGTTATCTCTATTATATATTTACCACAATAAAAATATTAATATGTACATAGTAAAATTAATCAAACATATTTTATATCTTATATGTAGATATAGATATTAATATTTTTATAAGCAAATAATTTTATAAGAATTTCTGATTAATATTTACTACAATAAAAAATATTCATAATAACGTACATAGTATAATTAATCGAACATATTTTATATCTTATTATGGTAGATATTAATATTTTTTATTGCGATAAAGATTTAATTAGAGAAACTTATAAAATTGTTCCAATAATACTATACTGTCCCACGATTACCATGATTTTCAGAGTAAATTTTAAGAGTAAATTCTCTCCGACAAAGCTTGTCGATGCTTATATAAAGAATGGATTTTTTTTCATATTCTTAGGCGGATGCTGAAGCGCTAATTATCACGTTATTAGGGAGAATTGAGCCCTCTAACGTGTTTCGTACAATTTTTTGCACACTTTCCCGTTTCAGATACAATCTTCCCTGCTTTTTACGCGATATTTCGTCGGTGGAGCGGCGAGCAATCATCAACTCGATTCCGGCGCAATAATAAGAGCGCAGCCAGCGAATATAAAGAATTCGTGTTTCTTCCCGCTCGGGCGAATAAACCGTGTAGCGCGATCTCGTCTTTTTCGAGGAAGATGGATCGAGAGCAGAGGAGGCGCAAGTCGCGAGGAGGCAGGATCTCATCAAGGAGGGCGCAGTTAGCAGCATCTGGCGTCGGAGAGAAAAGAAAAAGGCAAAGGGCCGCGCGAGAGATGAAAGGGTGAACGTCAGAGTGGAAGAGAGAAAGATGAGAAACCTAGAAACGTTCCTCTTGCTGATATGCGGAGGAAGAGAAAACGCGCGCAGTTTCTCGGCACGTTACTCTCACGACGTGTCGCACTGATGCCAGAAAGGGAAATCTGCGACGCCGAAGGGTGGACGCGACTGGTGCCACATTAGGGAGGAATGCGCCGCGTCTCTGGGATCTCTCAAACTGTCGTCAGTGCGTAAATTTCGCTTTTTGCCACCGCCGAGATGACACCAGGAAGGTGTCCACCGGATCCAATCCACCAAATTTCAGACGGCATGTGCGATCTATGTAGGTACACACGTGTGTATCTGATGGATTCTATATGGATTTTACGTATCGTGCATTCCCTCTGCAATAGTTGAAAAAAAAAAAAATAATCCATTAATGTTTTATTACTCTTGAAACCTTTATTTCATTTATTTCAGAGTAATTTTACTCTACATTATCTTTTAATTTTCTCATTAGTTAATTACAATTTTTTGCAATTTTTTAACCAATATATAATTTAATATAGTAATATAGTAAGAAATAAAATTTAATAATTTAATATAATTCAGGGTATCCAGCGGTCAGGGAAATCTGGAAAACCGGGTATATATTGTCAGAAATTTTATAAATCTGGAATTGGCAGGGAAAAAGTCCGAAAATTTTACTATTTATCTGGAATTTTTCACATTATTTTACATCTGTCTCAATAATTTGAAATTTTCCATTAAATAAATATAACTTTCTTTTCCTTGACTCCTTGATTTATCATATATAGATATATGCAAATTATATATTTGAAAAAAATAAAAGTCAGGGAAAAAATTAATTTATTTAATTGGTCTTGGAAAATCTGAAAAAGTCAGGGAATTTTTTTCATTGAGTCTACTGGACACCCTGTAATTATAAATGATAAATTAATTGTACAATATAATAAAATTGACAATAACTACAATTTTTTTTCGCGTTGAAATGTTAAATGTAGCAATTTATTTCCTCGCAATTCTTCATATCGTTTTTCGTTCTGAGAATCTATATATGAAAAAAAATTATAATAAAAATAATTGCACTTAGCTCTTAAACATACTCCCGGGAAAAACCTGGAATTCTCAAGGAATTCTTTTGTCTTGAAAAATTCTGGAATACTCATGGAATTTATTTTGTCCCTTTGATTTTATTTTTTTATGTACGTGAATTTTTTATTAATTGAGAAGATCCAAAAAACGGCCGAGACATTAAAAAAAATAAGTATAATTAAATTTAAAAATAATTATCAATCTGTGCTCGACTATTACACTAATTTTTTTTCACACCTGAATTTCTATTTACCATATATACATATATCAAAATCTTTTCCAAATTCATTATTTTAATTTTAAAAAATTCATATAATAAATGTCCAGTGAGTTTCATCTTATTCAGAAGAAAAATCTATTTGTTTTGCAAAAAAAAAAAAAAAGAGACTGCATTAACCGCACAAAGAGGAAATGCCCGCAAAGTTCTGACCAAAAGAGGGTTCCCTCGAAAAAGGGTAGAAAGGAAACGGTTGCGGGCTTTTTGAGTACTTTTATTTCTCCGTGTGGGGTTTCTCATAATTTGTCGGAGGTCCGCGCATAAAGCACGAAGGGTGAAAGTCGCGAGACGATAACACACACCCTTTCACGTGTCGGCCCTTTGACTCTGAAGACTCTGAAAAGGGAGGAGAGACGTCGTCGAGCGAGGATTGGCTCGTTAATGTTATCGGTGGCTCGCGTGACGCGAAACATAGAGGCTGGGATACTTTCTTGAATTTCTCGTTCGCTTTGCGAGCAGGAAAATTTATAGCCGGTTCCCGAATGCTGTCGCGTGCGACGGAGGGAATCACGAAAAAATATATCAGAGGAGAAAAAAGAGGGATGGGCGAGAGAAAGAAACGGCAATCCGGGTAGTTTCTTTTTCCAAGAGGTTGGAAGAAAAACACAAACGCGGAAATTACTTCCGGTTTCGCGTGATTCACGGAGTCGCGTCTTCTTTCTCGACACGCTGCCGGGCTTTCTTTCCTCTTTCGTTATTAAATACGATCGCGAGCAATTTTGCCGAGGTATACGAAAGCCTAAGCTTCGAATCCGGAAATTACCTTTGCGATCGCTTGATAATCGCTTTCTCATTTTTTTTTACATATAGATTCTTGAAAAGAGAAACAATATGAAAAATTGCGTGGAATAAATTGGTGCACAGTAAAAAATTTTGCGTTTTCTTTCTTGTTAAAAACGATCCCTGTTAAAATTTTGTGTTAAATATTTAATATATTACTATTCTGTTAATTGATTATTAAAACAACTGACAAAAAATGTAAAAATAACACAATGTGCATCTATTTTTAATTTTACACAATAAATATGTTCTGCTATTAGTGACAAAAGATATCTGTTAAAATTTACAGAAACAAATGTTGATTTTCTATTTTATATAATGTAAGTGGGGATGATAAAATCTAAAATTAACATATTTTTATATAAAAATAAATTTATTTTAAATTATTTAAAGTTTTTCATATTATATTAAATTAACACAGCAATTTCTGTGGATCATTTGGGACGTGTGATATCTGTTAAATTTAACAGAAATTTTTCATCAACTGTGTATATTTAACATTCCAACACGAAAACATGTTAATTATTTTCAATCTTATTATATAATTATTTGTCATTTATAATTATATTAAATTATTAAATTCTAATTTTATTATAACTCTTTTTCATATATAGATTCTCGGAAAGAGAAACAATATGAAGAATTGCGAGGAATAAATTGCTATATTTAACATTCCAACACGAAAAAAAATTGTAGTTATTGTAAATCCAATTTCATTATATTGTATAATTAATTTATCATTTATAATTACATGCAGGGTGTCCAGCATAGACTCAATGAAAAAAATTCCCTGACTTTTTCAGATTTTCCAAGACCAAAAATTAATTTTTTCCCTGACTTTTATTTTTTTCAAATATATAATTTGCATATATCTATATATGATAAATCAAAGAGTCAAGGAAAAGTTATATTTATTTAATGGAAAATTTCAAATTATTGAGACAGATGTAAAATAATGTGAAAAATTCCAGATAAATAGTAAAATTTTCGGACTTTTTCCCTGCCAATTCCAGATTTATAAAATTTCTGACAATATATACCCGGTTTTCCAGATTTCCCTGACTGCTGGACGTCCTGAATTATATTAAATTATTAAATTTTATTTCTTACTATATTACTATATTAAATATATATTGCTTAAAAAATTGCGAAAAATTGTAATTAACTAATAAGAAAACTAAAAGAT